TGGGTTTACATATTCTCTACATAATATAATAAACTTAAAACTAAGAACACGTACGATAATGCATATGCACTGCTTATTTAACAAAATTCTATAACATAAATCCTAAATTTCTTTATTACTTTAAGTTTTAACTGAAAATATTTACCAGAATTTTAATATGGTAAGTGTTATAACATTATTTCAGTGTTTATTTTTACGCCTTATTATTTGTCTGGTACCATCGGTTAAGTCGTACACCCCTGATTCCCAAACCACTGTAGGCTACATATTCTTCCTCGGTGACATAACACGCACTACTTTCTCACTTTATTCTACGAGAGAAGAACGTTTCAAAAATATGCATAGTTATGATTCGGCTTTACACTAGGCCTACAAGAGTACAAGTAAAAGAGTATGTACAGGCAGTTTAATTTTTTTTTATCTTTATACCATTAACTTCATATAAACTGGTTGTAACTACAAGAGTACAAGTACAAGGGTATCGACATAGACACTTTAATTTTTAAAAATCTTTATACCATTACTTCATATGAACTGGTTGACAGTACGAGTGTACAACTACAAAGGTATTTACAGAGCCTTATCTTTAAAAATCTTTGTAAAATTGGCTTGATATAATAAACTTGCTAATCAAGTATACCAACAAATAAATACATTATAAATCAAACAAAATCGAGGCTCAATACAAAGTTATGAATTGAAAAATACATATTGCTATAAGAATTTTACTATAAATACTTTAAAGGCATAATAGAATAATGACGAAAAGAAAAATACGAACAAATCTTGTAAAAACAATTTTCCTATTACATCAAATAATTACTTACTATTAATAATTTGGTATTAAAATGCGTTATAAAACAAGGAAGAAGGAAAATACGGCTAAACATACAAATTCATCAACAAATACGACGTTTTTAACCTAGCAAAAAGCAATGAAAAAATCAAATATCTAACTCAAAGTATTACATGAACAAAATACTATAGTTTACACCCTACTAGTAGGCCTAGAATAATCGCTTTAAAAAAACAACGGAACAGCAGACTAAACATATGGAAATGGTAATGCACAAAAACGAAGAGCTGACTAATCATATGGAAATAGTAATGTAAAAAAAGACAATATAAATCAAACCGGTAAGTCTACGTATGCCATTAAAAAAAAAAATACACTCCTGAATAATCTGAATACGTATTTAAAGAACAACGGGTAACCAAAGAAATACGTATTGTACAAAAAATACAGTTTACAAGGTAACTTATACAGTAAACGAAATACCAAAAAAGAAACAAATCCGCTTACTAAACGTACGTCATGGACCAAAAACTACAATGATTCTACAAAGAATTTACAAGTCATACAGTAAACGAAAAAATATAGCAAAACAACGAATTTGCTAACTAAACGTATATCTTGTAAAAAATACTACAATTTACACAATCGATCAACCGTGATACCGAATCTAAAAAAAAAGGCTAATAACGAAACGTGTATATATATATACAACAACTTACAGTTTACTAGGGAAACAGTAACAAAAAAACAAAAAGAAAAATACAAACAGCTAACTAAGCACAAGTTATGCACAAAATACTAAAATTTACACCATACAATAATCACGATATTAAACAATACACGAAAAGACTCACTAAACGTTTTTCATGAACTTAATAAAACAAATTACACTATACAATAATATCATTGGTCCATACACATTTTAAATTAGTAGTTTAAAAATACATACATGTGTATGAACAGTATAAAGGCAAATTTACGACATGGATTAAATACACTGTTGGTTAGTTATTATTGAGGGGTATTTTTTTATTATGCCTACGTTTGTTGATTCTATTTTACATGACATTGACAATAAATATTTTCAGTAAATTAATACATTGTCGTCGATTATAGTAAAAGGGTAAAAGAGTAAAGTTAGGATATTGTAACTATCTGAATTTGTTTCTAAGCAGAATACAGATATTCGAATTTGAAATGACACATGAAAAGTGTGAAAGCTTTATTTGAACTTTGAAACATGGCGGAAATAAATAATTTCATAACATATATCAATCAAATAGAAATATTACCTATATATTATATTTTAGTTGGTTTGATTCGCTAACTGAAAGGGAAATGTTCAAAATGTTCAAAAATGTTCATGTATTTTCAAAAAGGTTTATTATGGAATTTTACAGCAATAGCATGCTTACAGACTTTCTCAGAGGCGTAAATAAGTAATGTCCAATCTTACAACATAGGTACATTCATGTAAAGTGTAAAAATCTTACGCATTATAAAATAAATTACTCTATACGAGTAGTTCAGAATAAAATGTTTACCATCATGTTACGTTTATACTCAATGCCATCATATATAGAAGTAATTTTTTAAACCATGTTGGTTTCGCAAGGAGCACGCTTGAATTATTAGCAAAGCCGACAGCGAGCCCGCAGCAGCGGGATGAGCTGCGTCATTGTTGCGTCTTGCATGGTTACCGGTAGAGCGCACTAGCAACTTGATGTACTGCATTACCGAAGGTCGCGTAGTTCGGGCCGCTGACGCTGCTCAGCCTGGCGCTGCACGGGTAATGCTATGCCCCATTGAGTGGAGACTCTAGGGTTAGGTTTATACTCAATGCTCATAGTGTTGTCACGGTGGGAAAGTAAACTTGCCTAAATGTCAGATCAAATAAATGCATACAAGAAATGTTTACTTCAGACACTGACAGATCGAGATATTTCAAAACATTTTGTTAAAATTACGTTAACCAACATTCAATGGTGTAGCTGCTTTAGCCTATTCAAAGCAGGTTATGGCTGTCCAGTTGGTAACCCCGAGTTTGTGGGTAAAAAATGGAGCACATGAAATGGTTGACATCACCCCACATTTCAGGTTACTCTACGGAGAAAATTCGTTTGATCGGGGGATGTCTCAAATAAAAGGAATAAAATGGTCCAACTTTAATTACTTAAGATAGGGTATAAGTACGGTAACAGTGTTCTTCAATTCTCAATGCTGGAAAAACATTGTTGCAACATATTAACTCGAATTGAGGCAGATCGTTTAGCATTCATTAGAAGTTATCAGTTAAAATCGAGAGCAGAAATGATGTAGGTGAACCTTGGTGACGCCATTAGAGATATTTAAAATTAGTTTCTAACAAGTTTTCAAATAACTCTAAGATGTAACTAAAGTTACTAGAATTTAAGCATAAGGTTTTCCTCGGCGTTATGTTTCATACTAGGCGGCTCATTGAGCCGCACGGGTTCCCTAGTGTTATTATAAACTGCGTATCATCTTAACTCAGTTTAATTTTATTAACACGTAGAGTGCGGCCGTTCCCGATCGGGTACGGCGCTTGGCCCCCGTACGGTGCGTCCGTACCCCATCGGGAACGCTCGGTAATGCTTTTTGTATATCTTCGTTTTTGCTCTAGCGTCGGCCGAAAGCGGACCTATACGACGTTAGCGTGTAGTATGTGACTTTCATTTTGTTGTGGTGTAGGTTGGTAGTAAATTTCCCTGTAAAATCCCCGTCTGGCAATCTCAAAAGTCTTCTTTTTGTCCCGTCATTTTCCCTCCATTTGGCAATACGATTCCAATGGGACCGGCTACGTTCCAAGCAGTGCTGCTATCTGTGAGTGTTTAGCGAACTACATCGACTCTCGTTGTAAAGCAGGACATCCCCTCACGTTATTTGCTATTCGTCAGACCAAAATTGAAAAGGCCAATCACACGCGGCAATCGGGTTTACTCGACGCTGAGGGCTGCGCCGCACTGGGGATACGCCCGCTATTTGACGTGCCGCAGCGAACGTGTTAAGGTAAGTTGCAAAGTCTGAATATAAGCTAGCCTGTATCTATAGATTGTATGTATGTTTTTCATGTAAACAAACATAAGATATTCTTCAGACAAAGATTAGTCCTTTTGAAGAATTAGTTAGGTAGTATTAAAATTGTAATTTTGAATTTGTCGATCAGGGAAAGTTTAAAAAAATCATAGAATTGTCAGGGAAAAGTCAGGGAATTTTTCAATATGATTTCACTAGCCACCCTGTTACAACACTAGGCTCAAACCTTGATTTTACAAAACATATAAAATATATTATTAAAACCTGTTTCAACTGTTATCAACATGATTTTATATCAGTTCTGAATTCACAACTGACTTCCAAATCTGTTAACGCCTTTAGCAGCAATATACGGTAATTTTCTTTGATCGCAGCAACAACTGTAATGATTTTTACGATCTTGGCAACTCCCACGAGTAGGTAAACATTACAATCATGTTATTCTATCACAATCTGTTACTTGACAGGCAAACACGTAAAAAGGAAAAAAGGCTTACGTAGTAAACTTTTTTGGCGTGAACCTAAAATTTCCGTAGTCGCACAATTGACACTTTTTACAACTTTTCCCCCCAAGTGGGGGCTCCCGGAGGTGTGTGGCCATGTGCGACCACACCAAGTGCCTAAGGCCGGCTCTGTGTACAAGTAGTGAGGCCTGAAGGATATTTTCCAATGCATCTTTTCAATGAACTGTACGCTGAGAGAGACATAAATATTGAAAATGAAATTGAAAGCATAAAAGGTGTTTCAGACTACAGTATCCCTTAACTAATAGCATTGACTGTTGTCAAGCTAATAGTCAGTGTGGTACATTTGAAATAAAAAGAGTGAATTAAAATTAACAATTTCACACTCTTGATTTTGTTTAAGTTAAAATCCACAAGACTACAGGTTAAGTGTAAGAAACTTTTGCCTGCCTAATAAATAATTTTTCATTTCAAGCCTGTGGCCCTAACTTTTGCCTGCCTAATAAATAATTTTTCATTTCAAGCCTATTTATTGGTCAGGAGTTTTAGAATTATTAGAATAAGTTAGGTAACCTAGCCTAGCCAAATTGTAACCATATAATCTTAAGGGTGTGTGTTCCAGCTAAAAAAATAATAAACAGAATTACTTCTACAAAATAGCTAAACATTCTGATTAACTGTTCCAGTTGCCTGATGCTCATTTTGATATTTTCCTGGAATATATGGAAGGAGGAAGTAAAAGTATGAAGGAGTTAATGTCAAAGATGGCAAATGAAGTTGTTGAAGAAATGGAGAAGTGGGAAAGTTTAACTGAAACAGAAAAAGTGTCTACTCCCAAAGTTAATGAAATTAAGTACAACAGAGCCAGAACTGTATTACAAATGCTTCAATAAAACTCCTGTTAATGAACTCGTTATTATGTTTTTTCTGCAATTAACACTTATACTATAAAGTAATATTAAGAAAAATGAAGTACAACAAATACATTTACAAGGTGGCCAAATCATGATAGTGGTTGACTCAGGCAAATCTTTTCCGGATATATTAGTTTAAAAGATTTTTAAGTGTACCTCCCAGTGATACAATCATTGTGTAAACACATTGATCCTTAAAACTCTCCAGGTGAAACTGTTACTAGTTACTGTACAAAGAAAAAAAAAAAAACAATATAATTTTGGAGTTTCTATGAGTGGTTTTAATATGTATATGTGTTTTTCAACATGTACTGTATATGTGGCAGTACTTTAACAACATTTTTGCTTCAATACCAGAAACAAAACACCAATTCATCCAATAACGAGCATTTCTATTTTACAACACAAAAAAGTTTTAAATATAAACAAATGTATTCAAATGAAATAGAACCAGATTTATAATCACTGAACATGACCAAACACCTTGGCATTATGCATTGTCATCATCACTGTCTGAAGCCGTTTCTTATACGCTATAGTGCCTATAGGGCTCATGAACTAGTTAAGCTACTCTTAAAACCCTTTGGGGTCTATAGGCCACTTATAGTGCCCACTGTAAATTTCAAGCTAGAATGGCATCACATTTACCCTGTTGTACTCAGAGATACGCTAGGCCACTTATAGTGCCCACTGTTTTGGTGTCAGGTGTGATGCCATGTTGAACATCTGTCCTCAGTAGGTATAGCTGTTTCTGGAAACTTGTTTGAGAAAGTGACAAACATATAAAATCTGTGATTTTACAAATGTTTAAAACACAAATAAAAAAGTACTTTATATGAAATCCCGAAACGTCATCCAGTAAATCCATTTTATTGTCTGAATTCATATTTCAGTTAACTTCACATCTCACATAAAAATCAAACTATACATACAATATCCTAACTGCATGAAAATGAAAATGTATAAGATAGGCCTAGTATAAGCATAGATTAAAAGAAGTAGACAGTCTATACTCCTTTTATCTATGGTATAGGTTAGGCCTGATGAGAACCAGACGGCTAGACACTAGCTTGAATGACGCATTTGTAATATAGTTAAAAACGTTGAGCAGAGTGCAGTAGGTTCCAGGGAACTATAGAAATATAGTTGTTTTGCAAACAAATTATAACTTGGGCACTATGAGTGGCCTAGGGCCTAGAGACCGTTCGAGCATATTGCTAGTGGGCACACTGAGTGGCCTAACGTATCTGAGGGACAGACGTGGGGCGTAACCGCCAATACTTGACCGAGTAATGGTTCTGGGCACTATGAGTGGCCTAAGATACCTGAAAGAACATTAGGGAGACACCATTACAGACTGCAAAGGGTTAAAAGAGAACTTCTATGGTCAATTTTAAGATTAAAAGGATTCTATATTAATAATGATATTATGTTGAAATGAAATTATAAATTATTATATTTCTAAAAAATTTACATGGAATAAATTAATTTTCACATGGTGGTAATAGTTTTCTCTATAAAAGACTCTCCTCACTCCATAAACCGGGTTGTTTACTTTGCAATGACTTGATCAATGAACTTGTGAAGTTTGTCTGTGTCTTGTAAACCCACTAATTTGTCCTCAACTTTTCCATTCCTCATCACAAGAAGTACAGGTACAGTTTTTATCTGTAAAGAAACAAAAACTCTATTACTATTCATAGTATGTAAAACTGAAAGAAATCAATGATAGTTTGCTGAAATGCAGTGGGCCAAAAGTAGTTTAGGCACAAAGACACATAGTTTTGGTCATTAACTGACACGTGAATATTTTGCACCCTCTCAGAGTAGTGTTTGACTGATTGGCATTGCACATGTTTAACGAAGATAAATTTACATTATCAACTGATTACTGAATCAAAAATTGTGTTAGTTTATATTACTGGTTGATTTTGCTGTACACTGTAGGAAATACAAATATTTTACATGAGAATTAACTACAGAAGTAACTTTTCTGACGCTTTTCTCACCCTTGTAGATGATTTTTTTGTGTAGCTTTCTATAAGCGTATTTCCCATAAGTTAAGCGATAAGCCACTACCGTAGGTCTCATAGCAAGACCTAGACTGACCTATTTACTTTTTCATTTTGGTATCCCCAGAGGCTAAAAACACCATCCGTCCAAATTCATATATATTGTACATTTTGTTTATATTTTCTATATATTGTTTATTTATTTCCCAATGGTTTACACCAGTTTACAAAAATTGATACAATGTTAACAATATAGGTAAATATTCATACAAAAGAACAAAAATGGTAACAGCAAGAATAAAAAAAATAACAAGTATTATTACCTGTAATATAGTGTACTAAATCAATAATAACAATTCTACTGTAGTGACTAGAGTTATTACTTTAGCAGGGGGGTGACCTTTCTCCGGAACGTGGACAATGAGTCATGAAAGAAGTCCAGGTGAATTGCGACATCACTCCCAGTACATAGAAGTCTCAATATGTCACTGTATGATGCATAGTTGGTGGGTTGGTAGCGTCGGCGGAATATCGTTTTGAAACGGGTTCCTGTTGGGATGTGCAAGTGGATACCGCAGAGTAGATCCGGACAGTCCAGGAGGCCATTGACCAACTTAAAAAGTGTCAGTAGGTCTGAGTGTTGCTGCCTCGCGTGTAGAGGGGTGAGGCCAAAAAGAGATTCAACCTCGTTCACAGGAGTACGTAGGTAGTCAAGCCCAAGCCTGCTTCCAAGACCCAATCATTTCTTAACCTTTGGTTCCAGCTCACCACACGCTTCTAATGCACAAACTAACAAACCAACTATCCAACCTTTAACCAACTTGGCTGCAATTCATAACCTATCAAATGAATTTGCCAAACTTAGTTTAGTTAAAAAACTTATAGTGTATCTTTACCTTATAACATTGTACATACGCTTGGCTTCCTTAGATATAGCCATGAATAGGCCTAGTATGATAAAAAATTCTGAGAGAACCACAGTTAAATTCTGTGGTAAATTCAATCCCAATGATTAAAAAATGTCAAAATGACTCTATATTAATTTGTCACAATATACACCTTAAAGAATAAATAATTTCAAGCTTTAATTAAAAATACCTTAATGTTAAACTTTTTCATATAAAAAATTGTCTTCATAACAACACTGTAGGCCCCTATTGTGCATGTGGCAGATTTAATGTGAATATTGATTTAAATCAAAGAGTTAAATATTTATTTTCTTTGTACAAAATATACTTTAGGATTGGAAAATGAGTAGTTTTGACATTGAAGGATCTCCTGCAGCCCTTAATTGGTGCTAACATTGAAAACTCCTACCTGGATTTGCAATTTTTGTTTTGATTAGTTAAATTGTATTACTTATGTAAACTAAAATGTAGGTAAGTTAGTTTAGGAAAAATAATCCCTTGACACTCTTGTGTACAGATAATAGAGGCAATAATGCTGAAAGATAAATAGCATCCAGAGCAAATTCAAGCTTTGTCATTTGTCGTTTTACGACACGCTGCGATGCATGCTACGCCAACATTTTAAAACTGCAGGTAGTTTAAGAGAAAAATCCCTTGACACTTTTTAATATAATCACACTCTTGTGTACAGATAATATTGGCTATAATGCTTTTAAAGATGGATAGCCTTCAGAGCAAATTAAAGCTCTGCCATTTGTCGTTTTGCGACATTTGTCGACAGGCGACACACTATATAATTAATACACCAACACAAAATTTGTCCTCTGAACTTTTCCACCATTCTTAAACGATTTTGACCATTCACGTCTCATTGGAAAGAGTGTGTTACGTAGATTTGCAAACTGGCCTTAAATTTTTGAAAAAGTCCCTTGGGCTGTTCCCCAGTGGCTTTTAAGGTTCCCATGTTATCCTTATGAAGAACATATTTGTTTACATTATGATCAACTGGATAATTTAATTGCTGTTAATATTTATCTTTGCAATTCAAGGAAAAGGATGTATAAACACTGATTTCCTTGAAATTAAATATTTACTATTTGGATTAACGTACATATTATAATTTAAAAAATCGAGAAAGCTTGGACAATTTTATATATTTCACCAAATAATATAATAAATGAATTGACACATTACTGTATTTTTTGGGCAATCCTTGAAAGAACCGATTTTCAAACAATGGAAATATAGACAAGTTATAGAACGCCACCAAGTAGAAGAAATGGGGATAATGTTTTTTTAAAGAATTCAGTATGATATCCTTTTTAGCCTATATAATGAAGAAAGAACGCCTACAAGATGAAGATTCCTACAAACAATGAACGAGGATGTTAGCCGAAGTGCTACCAATTTTAGTAGAAAACAAGGATAAACTTTGTGATAAAAGCCTTTACTAAAACTTTCATTGAAGGATTCAATTTCTAATCTCAGTTAAGGAAAACAAAAAAAAACATCTGAGCAACATCAGGCCTTTTAACTCTGCATTTCCTCACCTAAGTAATAATTGACATTATTACAGCAGCTAACCAAAAGAATGCCAATTGAAGCAAATACAATTTTGACAGAGAGGTTATGAAGGAAATCAGGTAGTTCTTAAGTAATGTGAACAAATTTTATCGATAATAAAAATTACTGAAAGTCGTAAACTTACTGGTGACAATGATGGTACCATGCAGGCTACATCATCAATAATGAATATAGGCCTAATCATGGATAACCTAATGCGACTATGAGTGGAAAACAATTTGTAGAAAACACTAAAAACAAGATCAGCTTTTGAAAAATGATAAAATGTCTACAAGAAATGTTGATTATATCTAACTGGGTCATCGTTAGTAATTTCATTAAAGTTAATCTCAACTAAAAGATGATTTCCCTTGATCTGGCTAGGGTCGATTATCGACCACTAACGCGAGTCCTCAGAGGCGCTAATCAATTATCGTATGAAAACCGTTTTAAACCGCAATGAATCTTATACCATTAGAAAGATAAGATTCTGAGGATTTATTTTCATGTATAAAACATTATTGAGCGAGTATTATGTAGCGAGAAACATAGTTTGAAAAACTAGAGAGTTCAAAATATATTTTGGCAGTGGAATGTTTTGGTCACCTGACAACAAAAAAAGCTGTTTTTGGCGATCGACAATTTTAAACGGAAAACTCCATTTTACATATAGGACAATTAAATTCTACATTATATTATTACATATTACAAAACTACAATAAATTCCCTATAATTCCCTCTGAATCTATGAGGTAGATGATTGTAAAAATTTCATTTGGTTTTGAAAATGTCATAAAAAAACTGTGTTTTCCTAACAAAAAAGTTTCAAAATTTTACATTCCGACATAAATTTCTCAGAAATGTTAAAATTCAACTAAAACTATATATTTTCAGAAAGATCTTATATTTTCTATTATGCAGTATCATATTTATTACCTGTTGATACATTCTATTATTTTTACATAGCAAAAAAATTTGGTAGTTTTAAAGGAAATATGTATGTAGAATTTATTTTTTTTATAATTTTATTTTTATGAGTATACCTATTTTAAAAACATTGATATTTCTACGTAGGGAATAATATTTCACACAATCTTTACATTTATATAAAATGTGTAAACAAATTATTTTTTTTGTGTGGGTTGCTTTTGAAATTTCTAATTTGCATAATCTGAAAATTTGCAAACCTTTTGCTACTACGCCTAAGCACATTGCTAGAAAAAAATGATTTTTATATCAATATATTCTACATTTACCACTGAAACAGAACAAATATAGCCTATATATGTTTACTTGTATTCACAAATAACTGTTCTGTTGTGAAATATATGGTAACACTACAAAAGGTCAAAAATACATATACACCACTGGTGAATAAAATTACTGCCAGATCTAGGGTTAAACTTAAGTATATTTTACTAGCTTAAGTGTAAGTTATTCATACTCGTTCATTGCGTTTGACATATGTCGACAGGCGACACACTGCTACGCATGCTGCGCCACTATTTTAAAACTTTGATTCAAAACCTATATCATAACTTATCAAAATTTGCTAAACGTAGCTTAGTTTGAAAACATATAACCTATCTATATCATAAAAATTGTACATAGCTAGGTGTAAAACCTGAGCTTAGCCTCCTCTTGTAGAAGTCCATGACATAGGCCTGGAATAGTTGGGTAGTTAAGCCACATAGGCTAGGTCTAGCTCAACTAAGGGGTAAACGTTTGCCGTTTACTGTTATCGAAGTTGATCCTTAACTTATTGGTATTTACCAGTAGGCCTAAGGAAACTTGGATATTTAAAAGTTGTAAAACCAAGTTTGGTTATCCTTGATCAAATTAAAATATTTGGAATATTAAAATATTGACCCTGACAAAGGATGGTCTAGGCTATAAGTTAATTGGCAGTTTCTTTGATACAGTAGAACCTCTTTAATCCGAACCCCTGTAATCCGAACGTCCACTAATCCGAACGCCTCATTGCTGTACCGTACTCTATACTCAGTACAGTATTTTTGTTTTTGTATGTATACTGTATTTAATTGATATACGCACCGTAGTTATTTCAATTGTAATGTATAGTAGGCCTACTGTTTATTCCTTATATTTACTACTGTTTTAAATAAACACTGTATTTTACTTTATAAAACATTTTTCACTTTTCCCTAGCTTTGCTATGTAAAAACAACAATATGTTCTGTAATCCAAACTATTCAATAATCCTAACTACCCCTGGTCCCAATTAGTTCGGATTAAAGAGGTTCTACTGTATCTAGTCTTTTAACCATGAAGACATACTGGTAGATATGCTGGTCTTTAGCGGTCACTGCTGCAAACGAAGATAGCCGGGTGGCGGGCGGGAGCTCGAGTCGCTCTGAAGCAAGCCGAACTCGGACAAACTATCACTGTCTGCCACGGCGATGAATTCGCCATGGTTCATGATAAATAATTTATATTATGGTACCTTCTTCTTATCCATTATTTCGAAGGGGGCCCGATTTACATTATTGGGGTCTTCATTATCTTCATCTTCATTATCTTTGGTAAGCCAGTCTTGAAAATATATCTTATAAAAATGCAATGGTTTTATGCGCTGTCATTTTTGCTGTCCGAAAAACCTCTAGCCACTTTATAGTAGCATCCACCTCAACCAAACAATAGAGTCTGTCATAAGGTCCAGCATAGTCGATGTATACAGCATTCGAGACTATAAATAAATAAAATAAATAAATAAAAATGCCTTTATTTGCGAGCGTCTTTCAGTACAAGAACTGTTTTACAAAGTAACTCTTGTCAATATAACTAACTTAAAAATATACAAAAATTATAATACAAAACACTGTGTATGACAAAACAAAATTATAATCTATATACAATATTTTACATCTTTTTCACTTTTCTTTTGAAAGCCAGGACCCCCAGCTGTTTTAGGTCCAAGGGGAGATCATTGTACATCTTTGGGCCAAAGTAAGAAAACCCTTTTTTTCCCACTTCTAGGCTTACTTTTGGAATGTGGAGCAAGGCGTTTTGCCGGGTCACACTTTGAGTCACCTCCCCACGTGCCACAAGCCTCTCCACCAAGTACTTAGGTTCTTGCTGAACCAAGACCCGGTGGATGAGGCTACAAGTCTGCGCCCTGCACACGGCACCCATTGACAGCAACCCCGCAGCATCCCGGAATGGGGATACGCGTTCACGCTTACGGATACCGTAAACGAAACGAATTGCGGAGTTCTGCACTTTTTGCAATCGGGACATCTCTTCCCTTGAGATGCTGTTGCCGTATGCAGGAAAACAGTAATGGAGCACTGACAACACTAGTGACTGTACCAGCTGCAGCTTGGCTGTCTCTGGCAGGATGTTTTTGTACCGGTACAGACCACGCAGCCTTCCCAAAGCCACCTGGGAAACATAAGTGATGTGGTCCAAGAAAGTGAGGCCACTGTCAAGTACCACACCCAAGGTCTTGACGGTATCCCTCGCCATTAGAGGTTTTCCTGCGATTTGAACGTGCATGTCTCCATTTGCAACTCTGTGAAGAGTAGTGGGTGTAGCAATATGAAGAATCATGCATTTTTCAGAGTTCAATTTTAAACCATGTTTGCGTGACCACTCACTTATTCTCACCAGATCAGAGTTTACTCCTGCAAAAGCCTGATCAGCGGCCTGAATCTCATAGCAGAAATGCAATTGGCAGTCATCGGCATATGAGTGCACATTGCAGTGACTCACACATCTGGACAGATCTGCAGTGTACAGGGTAAACAAAATGGGCCCCAGACAGCTCCCCTGAGGCACTCCCCTTGATTTCTCTAGGGGAGGTGAGATATCGGTACCCACCCTGGTCACTTGCAGTCTGTTTTCTAGGTAAGATCTAAACCAAGCAATAGCATTGCAATGAAAACAAAAATGTTTCAATTTTGCTAGGAGCAAACCATGGCTTATGGAATCAAAGGCCTGTGAAAAATCAAGCATGACTACAGAGCTACACCTGCCCTCGCTCCTCGCCCCAAACAAGTCTGCAAACATATTCATCAATGCAGTACAAGTGCTATGGTTCTTTCTGAACCCTGATTGCAGTTTGGGAAGCAGATTCTCTGCATCTAAAAATTCTGTTATTTGGCATATTACTAATTTTTCCAGCACTTTGGACATAGCAGGCAAGACTGATATTGGCCTTAAATCATTAAAGTTATGTACCATACTTTTCTTCCACGTGTGTGGAAATTCACTGTTTACAAGAGATATATTCATAAGGTGAGTTATTGCACCAATGGCATAAGGGCTGACGGCTTTTATCATTGCAATACTTATGTCATCAACACCGACAGCTCTAGAGGTAATTTTATTAATAGCTTCTCTTACTTCTGATACTGATATTTTTCTAAACTGGAATTTATTTACATCACGTGTATCTTCATTATATAATCTAATAAAATCTGCATCTGCTTCAAAAAATGATCCCATTTTTACAAAAAATTCATTCATTTCACTGACCCTAAAATCATTTGGTAAATTATTTCTGCTCTTTCCTGCTACTATATCACTCTGTTTAAGGCATTTCCAAAAAGTTCTCGTATCTTTACAGTCTGCCAGTTTTTCTGAGAAAAAAATTCTTTTTGCTTTCCATACAGCCCCATTCAGTTTGTTTCTAACTTTTTTATAATCTACCCAGTCTACATTCTGTCCCGAGCTTGAAAATTTCCTCCTTAATTTATTTTTCATTTTTGTTAACATAATGATTTCATTATTTCTCCAAGGTGCTTTTTTCTTTGTCACTCTCTTTGTTACTAGCGGCGCATGTTTATCATAAATATTGTTTATAGCAGAGCAAATAAAAGAATTTATTTGACTAGCGTTGGTCATGTCCATTACTACTTCCCATTTGATATTCTGTAACATTGAAATTGCGTCTTCTATGTTAAAATTTGAAAAGTCTCTGTATGTTACAAACTTAACCATAGATTTATCTTTTTTTACTTCTAATTCACAATAAACTAGTTTATGGTTAGTGATTTTCTTATTTCTATAGTCAAGTATTCCACTATGGAATACTCCACTACTTAATGAGTAGTGGATTGGAATCCACTATGAGTGTTGTGGCACGGTCCTGGGAGACAAAGGAAGTTCTGGTTTTTTGTTTTTACGTTTTTGACAATCTCTGCAACCATGGAAGTAGACAATCTTGCTCTGAAAGTAGGCCTACCTGTTCTGAGTAAAAACATAACTAGGCCTACAGCAAATTCTGTTCAAACTACAACAATCATAAATATGCTACACTATATTAACTTACATCATAGTCATCTGCCAACTTCTCTTGTTCATCAATGTCCACCTTGGCCAAGACAATTTTCCCTTCCTTCTCAGCCACCACTGATTCTATTCTCGGAGTCAAAGCTTTGCAGGGGTTGCACCATCTGTAAATCCATAAGTAGGTTAGCTTGCGTTCAGGATTAAAGAAGTTTCGTTTAAGGTAGATAACCATGCTAAGGAAGCATTTTCTAAATGGAATCGCCAAATAAGTAATTCACGAGGCTTCTTTAAAGATGGAACAGGAACCTTTCAACAGCTTAAAATCTTCAATACATGTATCTTGTAGTGCATTAAATAGTGTGTAAAAATTAAACAACAAAAAAACTGATCAAATTATACATATTTTATTTTGTTTGGTTTTTGCACCAGACCCTATAGGCTATTGCAGTTTTTCTATTTTTTATAATCAATTACCGGTACTTAATTAGCCTAGTAGTCAAGGTAGCCAAATAAATTATCACCATCCTGTAAAAGTCGCTGCCACGCTTGTTCCTTCTCACATGGTGGCTGCGACCTTCTCGCTAAATAAAGTATCTCTGTTTCATATTGTGTGATTCTTTCATCAAGTTGAGTTTCTTGCTTGTTCCCTCATCGGAGACTTTCCCTATCTTCTTTGGTTTACCAACAGATTTAGTAGGCCTACCTACTTCTAATAATATACTTGACCACAATCCATAAATGCATTGTCCTCTTTCATCCAGATTGTTAACAATCAATTAAGTTAACTTACAGGTAATTTTAGCCTAAACCAAAGATATAATGTAAGTTAGTTACCACTTAAAGTTACAACTTAACAACTCAACAAACAGCCACAAAGGTGCAAGTGCAGCTTCAAACAAGTGGACAGCAGTGATTGACGGTTTTACAGGGATGGGAGTAAGGCCCGCCACACATTGGAGCGAGGCGAGGTGTGTCTGATTCTGTAATTCACACGTTTAAATGGAGCACCGCACATTGAGTCAGGGCTCCGCGGCGTTGTGGTTGGAATACAGTTTTCCTGCACCTCGCTCGCACCTGCGTTGGTTTTCTAGTGTTTCGGGAGCCTTGCATCGATTATTATAATTATAATTTTTTAAAGCTATAGCTTGTTGATAATTGCATTCCTTTCCACTGATGTCATTTCCAATCAACTTATGGATATCATAAAACTGTTGTTTGTTCACACAAAAATATTCTCTAAAAGACCGGTCTGGCAGTTCAGTAACTTAGTTAAAACATAAATCAAGTTATGACTTTTATCTTTTTTTCATTTAGGCCCAATCACATTTCCAAAAACATTTTTTACGTTTTTGGATAGCGAATAGAGTAGCCTAAAGCTAAATTATTAAGTTAAACTTGAAATCAGAAAAGGTCCTAAAAATCTTCCTCTACTCGTGACAGTACTGTAGTGCCAAAGCTAGGAAACCTCTGTCCGCCTCGCTTCAATGTGCTGTGGCACAAAAAAGTCCTCGCTCCCGCCTGCACCTCGCCTCGCTTCAATGTGCGGAGGGCCTAAGACAACTAAACAAACTGTGTGCGCACCCCTGAGAGCTAGGTCCCAGCAACCTGTGACGTGCCACGTAAGTTATACATATGAGGGGTGAACAAATTTGTTAATGTAGACTAATTCAATATTAATTTTAGCTTTATGGCAGTTTTGCTTTGCCTCAATCTCAAACACTGCAGTCTCTTTACAAATAAGTATGTAGGCCTAATGATTCCTCCTACTGCTCTGTATTTTACTATTTAAAACACTGGGACTAATATGTGAGAGGTAGCAGGGAGGTATATAGTAATGAGGACTTAACAATCTGTGTGGCATGTAGCTCGCTAAAAAAAGTAGGCCTTCATAAAAAAAAGTAGGTAACTTACACAACTTTAGCCTGGTGCATATCTTCGGTGTAGGCCTAAAGTAGGGCCTAATACCACACAGTAAATAAATGATAGCATGTAATATTACAGTTCTGTTGGACCTTCGAATAATCAAACCCAGTAGCCTATGTTTTAAAACATAGGCTAATATACTATAGGCATAATATAATTTTTATATTAAGTTAGTAGGTCTACGTCTAGTAACAGGCTCAACATTAAGACTTAACTTTGTTTGTTTGGAAATACATAAAAATTAATTCGCCATATTTTATTGTTTAGGAATTTAATAAACTTACGTTGCAAAAAAGTCGACAATAACTGGAGTTTTACTTTTCTTTACTCTCTCATCAAAATCTTTTTCATCTTGAATTTTAAAAGACTTTGTAGCTTTTGAAGAAGTAGTAATACGACACAATTGATGGGCAAATGGACTTGAAACACTTCTACCAATAAGGTTTATGCAAGAAAACAATTTTGTAGTTTGCATTATAGATTCAAGTTATTTAAAATAATAAGAGATTAAAGATTTGATTTAAGTACAGTAAGTATCCTGATATAAACACAACCCAGCAGACCACCACAAAATGATGAAAGTTGTTGTTACGTAAACAAACTTTTTTTATATCATAGACCAACCAGCAGGCAGTATCGATTCACAGCTGAGAAAGCAGAAAGGCGAGAAAGGTTTGGATAGGTCTTTTTTTCTAAATGCCATAAACAGTTTGGGCACAGTTCATGAAGCTTCGCCGTTTTCTAGACTTTTCCGTGTGTGTATATATCTGCACAGTCAGTGCTATGGGTCGTCATGCAATCCCAAAAACAGCTATAAAATGTATACAACCTGCACCCGGTCAAGGTCAGTGCTAGAGATCATCACCACTTCAACGAACACATTCCCGCTACACCAGGGGTATAAGCTGCTGCACGGCCTCCTTTAACTCCAGGCCCCGGCCTTCGAAGTGGCGACATCGCAAGTAGTGTTGTACATTTGTTTGTATTACTGTATTCTGTTTTGTTTATTTCTGTTTAACTTAACCAATCAATAGTTTTATTAATACTTATGATTTATGAAGTCAAACGGGGTGAAGCCCGTGGCTAACAGCTAGTTAGTGTAAACTAGCAATGTTACCTTTGACTGTTTGCTGTTACCACAGACAATTTCTTTTGTCTATGCTGTTACCCACGGGCTTTGCCCCGGTTGACGTCACAAGTATGAATATAGATATTTACCTTACAAGGTAGTAAGAGCGTTTTTACATCACGCAGGTGAATGTTGTGCAACGAGTGGAAGCAAGTTGCATAATTTACCTAAGTGATGTAAACACGCTCTTGCGTAACGTGTAACATACAAGATTTTACCTGACCCGACAATATACGGGGGTTACGTACAATTCAATTCAATTCAATTCAAACATTCTTTATTCATAAATTTGCACAAAGGTACAACAAATAGTGTCAATGTTTACAAAAAGAAATAGTAACGACAATAATCCTATATATAAAAACAGTTACACTAATTTCGTCTAAATTAAAAGTAAATTAATTAATGTGTATGGAAGGTTCATTTTCTTATCAATTATTGATTTGATTTGTTACTCATCAATTACTCTAAACTCTATGGTTTTCGAAAAAATTGGTTAAAGAGTATGGGGCCAATTTTACCAAATATTCCTTTAAGTCGTTCTTGCATTTACTTAAGTTTTGTTCACCAAGAAATGACCTTGGTAAATGAAACAAAAATTTTGTTCCCATATATTTCGTTTTCTTTTTGAAAAATTCTAAATTATGTGGTTCTACCGGTCTATTTAATCTGGTGTTGTACGGGTGAACGTTGTTTACAAAATTTAGATTTTCAAGTTGTTTCACATACATTACAGTCTCTAAAATGTAGAGAGCATAAACCGTTAGTATTTTTGTGGAAGTAAATAAATGTTTAACAGATTTACCCCTTTTCAACTTAAACATAATTCTTAACGCATTTTTTTGTTTCCGCAAGATTTTATCTAAATTTTTCTGCGTTGTTGCTCCGTAAATGCTTATTCCGTAGGACAGGTGAGAATGAATTAAAGAATAATAAACTGTTTTTAATGTTTCTAATTTACAAAATTTAGCCATTTGTCTCAAGGCAGACAAACCTGTTGACATTTTGTTAACAACATGTTTTGTATGATCGTCCCAGCTCAGATTAGCATCAATGAAGAGTCCCAGAAATTTTGTAACTTCTACTTGGTCTAATTGATTGTCATCTAAATAGATTTCTGGTTTTAGTTTGACCCTCGCTTGTTTCGTACAAAAAGATATGAAAGTGGATTTACTTGAATTAAGAAGAAGGTTTTTACCATCAAGGAAATTTTTAATAATTGAGAGACTAATAAATGATGCAATTTCAATACTCTCCTTGGAATTCCCTGTCACAGTGATATTAGAGTCATCGGCATATAAACATACGTTACTGTTTACGGGTAGTAAGTCAGGTAGCCCTTTTATGTAACAAAGAAACAATAAAGGTCCTAAAATTGACCCCTGTGGTACTCCGTGTTTAATTTTTAAACTTTGAGAGTTAAACTTCCGGATATAGTTATAGTGATTTTTTGAATTGTTGAAGTTAATAGTGTGCTCAATTTCTACAAATTGCTCCCGATTTCCCAAATATGATTCAAACCATTTAGACTCTTTGCCAGTAATTCCTAAATTTTGCAATGCAATTAAGAGTTTTTTGTGTGACACACTGTCAAAAGCCCTAGTCAAGTCAAGAAATATACCAACCACTTTTTGCCCTTTATCTACTGAATCTATTATTGACTGAATGAATTCTATCCCAGCTGATATGGTGGATTTTCCTTTTTGGAAACCGTGCTGCTCTTTATCCAACAAATTGTTTATGGTTAAATAATCTACTAATTGAGAGTAAACTACTTTCTCGTATATTTTAGAAAAAATTGGGAGAAGCGATACCGGACGATAACACGATGGGTCATTTAAGTCACCTTTCTTAAAAATTGGTATAACCCTTGCAATCTTTAGTTTATTTGGAAAAATACTTGATATTAAAGAGGAATTTATTAAATGTACAAGTGGTTTTAAAATACTAGGAAGAGTTTTTTTTATGATATCAATGGAAATTTCGTCATATCCTGTTGAAAATTTATTTTCAAAAGAAATAATTATTTTCTTTACGTCTTGTTCCGTCACTGGATGAAATTTAAAACGCGGTTTATCGGAATTTTTATTTAGTTGTGTAGATTCTGTACTTTGAGGAATCTTAGGCAAAACTGAATCTTCAACTACAGAGACAAAAAATTGGTTAAAAGCATTAGCAACTTCAATTGGATCTGTTAATATTTTTCCAGATTGTATAATAGATTTATTCGAAGTACAAATTGATTCTTTCTTAACTTCTGTTCTAATTATGTTCCAGGTGGTTTTTGTTCTATTTTTTGAATTCATAATTTTACTATCAAAAAAGTTACTTTTTTCGTTAAAAATACATCTTTTCAGATCCTTCTTTAAATCTTTAACTCGTACCTTAGTATTTTCATTTTTACTTAACCTAAAGCTTTTTTCCAATTTAATAATTTCATTTTTCTTATGAACGATCTCATCGGTTATCCATTGATTACTTTTATCTTTTTTTATCTTATCCATTATTTTAGGGAAACAGTTGTCAAAATTGTACAAATATATTTCTAGAAAAACATCATACTTTGCCTCTACTGGTGATTGATAAACCTGCAGAAAAGACTCCCGTTTTAAACTTTAAAAAAATGTAGCAATATTATTTGTTGTAAATTTGCGCACTAATCTTTTTGAAATAGGTTCTTTGTTTGTCAAGCCATATAGATCAAATAACTGTGCATCATGGTCTGATATATGGGTTATGATACCTGATATTTGGCAGATTTCATCTGGAATATTTGTTAAAACATTGTCAATTGCAGTTTGTGATTCTGCAGTAACTCTTGTTGGAAAATCTACTTTATACACTAGATCATACATATTCAAAACATTAACAAAATCATAATACATTCTATCTTTCTTTAAAACATTAATATTTAGATCCCCAGTGATGATTACACGTTTATATCTATCACACAATATGTTACAAAAGACATCAAAATTACATAAAAAATTATCAAATAAACTAGGTATGGGTGACCTGTAGATACAACCTAAAACAAAAGAAAAATTATTTACACTAATCTCAACTAGACAACATTCAAAAATCTTTTCTTCTAATAGGTTTTCTAATGAGGGAACTAACAGCCTTTTACATTTGACATTTTCTTGAGAAAGAATCATAACTCCACCTCCCATTGAATCATTTCTTGCATAATAGGAACATAATTTATAACCATTAAAGTTTAGTAATTTAATTTCAGATTCACAATATTTTACCTAACCCGCCATGTTAAACTTCCCTATCCCAAGCGTGATGTATACAACTTCCTTACTTCTCGAGCGATGTAAAGTTGAAAAAACTCATTTGGTGAGGTAATGAAACCCATTTAAATAACATTCATTGAGTGCTTAACAAAAATATACCTCTATGGAGCCAACGACATTCAACGCTAGAAATCAGCTGTGCGTGTGCGCTTGAATTTTATTGTTATGTTTTGAAGAATTTTCCTAATCTAGCTTTCGTTTGTAAATGAACGTTACTGATAGAAGATGAGTGAAATGGATAATGAAAAATATTGTTCGTAACCTCCTGTATATTGTCGGGTCAGGTAAAATCTTGTACGTTACTCGTTATGCAAGAGCGTGTTTACATCACTTAGGTAAATTATGCAACTCGCTTCCGCTCGTTGCACAACCTGCGTGATGTAAAAACGCTCTTACTACACTTGTAAGGTAAATAGCTAATTCATCATCCATTTCACTCAACTTCCAACAGTAACGTTCTTATACAAACAAAAGCTAGGTTAGGAAAATTCTTTAAAGAATAACAATAAAATTCAAGCGCACAGCTGATTTCTAGCGTTAAACGTCCACAGAGGCATAATTTTTTAAGTTGACAACCCAATGTTATTTAAATGGGTTTCATTACCTCACCGAGTGAGTTTTTGAAACTTTACTTCACTCGTGAAGCTGTATACATCACGCTTGGGATAGGGAGTTTTAACATGGCGGGTTCGGTAAAAACTATTGATTGGTTAAGTTAAGCATAAAGAAAATAGAGAATACAAACAAATAATCACACCTGGTTTTAATAAGGTAATAAATTGAAAGAATAACATACAAATAAGTACAGCTGAGTTATTTTTAACATTGTATGGACAGTTCCCTTTAGAATGGAATTACGACCTTAAAGCGCAATTTATGAAATAATGGATAGTTTTGCGCAAGGTTTCTCGTCATGACGAACATTTTAAGTATATGGTTCATGGGGATGTGACTTGTAGTTTTCTCAAAAGTTCATGGGTACTTTGGGACGGATTTCAAAGTATTCATCTGTTGAACATTTTCTCCCTAAGAATAACATGGGAACTTTTAAGGCCACTGGGGCAGAGCCCTGATGGAATTTCAAACATTTTTTGTTTGATGGCAAATCTACATGCCTGGGTCCAACTAACTTATACAATCTTATATCCTATCCTAT